TCGCTTGGTGAGGGAACCCCCAAAGGCCAGGGGCAGGTCGAGGACACGTGATTTTCAGTGAGGAAGACGACAGAGTCAACCAATCGATGACGGCAGGGTTGTTGGTGGAGACACGACCGCTGGATGACACCGGGAGCACTGGCCTCTGGCTGCGACTAGTGCTGCCTCGACCCCTTCCTCTGCTGCCACGTCTGCTCGCTCCTGAAACATTGCCTCCTCTGCCACTCCTCTGCATGTTGTCTGACATACTCTTTAATTCAATAAGCACCCCAAAAATAAAAACGGATTTAACTCTTTGAACGTACAATAGTGGTTGTGAAGCAGAAAGTCAGTTTATTTAGCACAATCGGTCAATTGCAGCTTGCCGTTGGCTGGAAACTGTACGTTTAGGTCACTGGAATGCACTAATCACCCAAAAAATATTACCGCCACCCGGCGTGTATATGGATTTAACTCTTTGAACGTACAATAGTGGTTGTGAAGCAGAAAGTCAGTTTATTTTGCACAATCGGCAAACTGCAGCACCAACTGTGCACGACAGCCACCAAAAAAAAAAAAGGGTGTATGTCACTTTAAATTTTCAATTCTTTGATAGCTGTGTCCCTGAGTAACGATTCTGTGGCCCTGAGTAACGATTCTGTGGCCCTAAAGTCTCTGTGGCTCTAACTCTGTCCCTTAATACAGACAGGTCTGTCTCTCTTGAATGAGCGGAGGCTAATGGAGAATTCTAAGATGGCCGCGATTTATAGTGCTGGCTGGCTGCCGATTGGCTAATGTGATCACATGTCATGAATGCATTATGGGTCAGCGCGCCTTGTCTGCGCGCCTTCCCAGAGATCCCCGCCCCATCTTCTCTGTCCATTTTCTCCGTGGCCACACATGTCGCCGCCATTTTTGGGAAAATTCGATTCGTGCATCCAAAGTTTGCTAATCTTCGGAATCGTCGCGAATAGAATTTTTCCAAATCTTCGGAACGAATTCCACTTCGTCATGTTCGATTCGCTCATCTCTACCCATGAGAACGCTCTCCGGACTATTGCTGATCACACTCCAAATCCCGCGAGAACGCTCTCCAGCCTATTGCTGATCACACTCCAAATCCCACGACAACGCTCTCCAGCCTATTGCTGATCACACTCCAAATCCCGCGAGAACGCTGTCCAGCCTATTGCTGATCACACTCCAAATCCCATGAGAACGCTCTCCAGCCAATGGAAGGAATAGTGCTCCATCGTTGGTGTCAATGGTAGGAATAGTGCCCCATCGTTGGCGTCAGCGGGAGGAATAGTGCCCCATCGTTGGCGTCAGCGGGAGGAATAGTGCCCCATCGTTGGCGTCAGCGGGAGGAATAGTGCCCCATCGTTGGCGTCAGCGGGAGGAATAGTGTCCCATTGTTGGTGTCAGTGGGAGGAATAGTGCCCCAAGGACCAGATAAAGACAAACAAAAAGCTGAATTTGACCTCTTGGCTGCAGTTTGGAGACCACTGTTTTAAAAGAGAACAGAAAAACAGCTATTTATTAAAATACAAATACTCACCTTCAATGCAGACCCCACAGTACTTATTTTCTGCTGCAAGATGCCCAGTCTTCTCTGATGAATGAGACAGGACTGCCAGTCTCTCCAGATTTGGTGATCTCTGGCATTGCTTGGCTGTTCTTGCTGGAGAGGAAGCTGTACTTGAGGACCTGCACTGCAAGGATCTCCCTGCTTCAGTGTCATCCACTCTGTAAATCTGAGTTTCCTCCACCTCTACTATTATTATTATTATACAGTATTTATATAGCGCCAAAGGGTATGCTCAGCACTGTACAGTAGCAAGGGGGACAGAACACGAGACAATACAGTAACAACACACGAGCGGTTCGGGGGCCCTGCTCTTTCGAGCTTACAATCTAGGAGGGAGGGGAAGGTGATGCAGGAGGAGATGGCTGTGGGGGATGGAGTGGTGGGAGGAGTGGAGGAGGTTAGTTGTTAGGTGAGGTCGGGTGTTAGGTGAGGTTGGGGAAGGCTTCCCTGAAGAGGAGGGTTTACTGTCATCAGATCACCAGTTGGGGGGATGGGGTTGTGTCACTGACGTGGAAGAATAGCCCTGCCTCTACGAAGATGGCCTCCTCCACATAGAGAGACACAGAGCAGAACAAAGCATGGGGGAAGATCAGCTGCAGGGAGACCGCAGACATTGCTGGTGACTAGTCCTTTGTCCACACCATTCACAGTACAGGTCCTCTTTAAGCTGTAGTTTTGATGTATTCCTATGTCCAGAGAAAGACTCAATAAGTATATTAATAACTCCATATACAGTCTGCCTGGCCTGTGTCTGACCCCCTCTCATTGCGGCTCTGATACACTCCATCCATAACATATTATATATTAGCCACCTCGTGGTTCTGAGTGCGGAAGTGTGATAACAATGGAATATTCGGATTGTCTTGCCTACAAAATGTCACCTAAAGCACCAGAGTAGATTGTCTACAACAAACGGATTAAGGGAATGCCAATAAATTCTGCACAGGTGACCTCATACTGGAGGCGGAGCCATCCTGTCCATATGTGGATTTAAAGCGGACCTTTTAAAGCACAATGGTGCAGTCAGTTTGTGATCTGTAAAATCAATGGATATCCAATACAAGTAAAATGGTAAAAAAAAAGTTCCAATATAAAAATAAATAGGATAGAGGTGACTCTTGTGCTCTGGTAACTCTGCAATAGTGGTGAAAGTAATGCGCACTCACCGGATGCGCATGTATAATGCACCTTACGTTAATAATCCAGATGTCATCAGATAGGAAAGGGTCAGGAACTAGAAGATCACACAACATCCTTTTAGGAGGAGCAACATCACGCCGTGACGTCACGCCGCCGGAGCAACATGGAGCTCTGGCGGCCATCTTTAAAAATCAGATGGTTAGTTCTGATCGATTGCTGTCTGCTGTTTTTATCCTTTGATGCATCTGATCGCAATAAAATTGTCCATACTTACTACACCATGGGCGTATCCTTGTTCCTACCCCCAGGGGGAGCTCTCTAAATTTTCAGACTCACTGCTTCAGGACGGATCATCATACCTGTAGTGGATATCTGCATACCCAGGGAGCAATATCAGGTTCTTTAAAGGGGAACCCCAGAGGAAGAGGATCACCTGTAAAACCCTAAAGGATCCTGTCTGACGACCCACCATCCCTTAGAGGGAAGGCCTTCTAGTTCCTGACTCTTTCCCATCTGATGACATCTGGATTATTAACACAAGGCCAGGGGCGGACAGACAACTCATGGGGCCCCTGGGCAATAGGGGATCATGGGGCCCGTGTCCTTGCCCAAACTCAAAAACGCCTATGAAAAAAAGGTACCAGGGGCATCTCATGGGGCTCCCTACTGACCCCGGGCCCTCGGGCAGTGCCCGAGTTTCCAAACGATCAGTCCGCCCCTGCATAAGGCGCATTATACATGCGCGTCCGGTGAGTGCGCATTACTTTCACCACTATTGCACTGATACCGGGTCCAGAGTTACCAGAGCACAAGAGTCACCTCTATCCTATTTATTTTATATTTGAACTTTTTTACCACTTTACTTGTATTGGATATCCATTGATTTTATTGATTTACTGATAATATTGTAATTATTTTAGCGCTGCACCGTTTTATATACCATTTATGATCCAAGGTGATATTGGTTACCTAGCAGGCAGCTATTTTATTTTTAAGGCGCTCGCACTTCTGTTTACATAGTTTGTGATCTGTGCCTATAGAGAACATACAGAAGAATATTTATTTTTAATTCCCCAATTAACACACGTTAGAGATACCAGATAGGTGAACGCAGCACTTGGCGGCATCACACACGATGGTGGCCTATGACATCCATTTATCACTTTTATTATCTCCATGTGAAGTTGGGTTGTATTTTCTTCCCCGGGTTGGACTGGCTCTAAATCATGAGCCCATATAGAGGCACAAGGACACCGTAGAACATTTTAGCATCCAAAAACAGTGCTTTGAGCCCCAGCCTGTTCCTGTAGAATTGATAGGCTGAAGAATGGTACCACCCACAAAATGGCTGCCTCCATTGTCAAGGCATGACAGGTACTCCTTAAAAAGGTGCGAGGTGAGGTCCCTGTGCTTCAGAGGTTTGTAATAAAAATTAAAAAAAATTAAAATTTTTCCTGGGAGGTAAGGTGCAGTTGTCGCCCAATGTACCTGGAGCTCCTACAGAGGGATAAGGCACAGGCTGGGGGGGGGGGGGGGGGTGGATGGCAAGATCACACAACATCGGAGAGGTCGTTCCCAGTGCTCTGGCTGTCCAGTGACAGGAAGCGCAGCCAGTTCTGGTACAGTCCCTGGTTGTAGGTCCCCGGGTCCACCACCAGACCACCCAGGTAACAGCGGCCAGTTTTCTCCCGCCGGGCCATGCGGGCCTCACGCTCCGTCACGTTGTAGCTGATGTTGAGGAGTTGGACGAGGAGGAGGTAGGCCACCCCTCCGGTGACAATCGCACAGTACCAGACGCAGGTGAATGCAAACGATGTGCTGGGGGAGAAGGAGAGCCATTACCAGCAGAACATTGCCAAGGTAATCTCTACGCAAACTCATCATATGGCATCCTCTATACCACTGTACAGTTTAATTTTGCATCACTCAGACTTCATTACACTGAAACATCAACAATCGATCAACAACAGTTTTGGGTGTCCTCACCCTTGCTCAGATTCACAGATGTACAAAGTAAGAAAGCTCTGTGCTATTTACACCAGTATTCCTCAACCGATGGTCCATGGCCTCCCTCCTTCCAGGCTACAGAGAGCTGCAGATCCCCATGTTCCTACAGTGCCTCAAGGCTCTCAAATCCCTAACCTACTGTAAGCCCTCAGACCCCATAGTGAACCCAACCACCTGAAAGCCTTCAACCCTCCATAGTGCCCCCAACACACTGTGAGCCCTCAACCCACACAGTGCTCTAACCTGAAAGCCCTCAAGCCTCCACAGTGCCCCCAACCTATTGTGAGCCCTCAAGCCCCACAGTGCTCCAACCTCCTGAAAGCCCTCAACCCTCCACAGTGCCCCCGACATCCTGAGAACTCTCAACCCCCACAGTGCCCCCAACCTCCTGGCGCCCTCAACCCTCCAGTGCCCCAAACCTCCTGAAAGCCCTCAACCCTCCACAGTGCCCCCAACATCCTGAGAACTTTCAACCCCCACAGTGCTCCAACCTCCTGAAAGCCCTCAACCCCCCACAGTGCCCCCAACCTATTGTGAGCCCTCAACCCCCACAGTGCTCTAACCTCCTGAAAGCCCTCAACCCTCCACAGTGCCCCCAACATCCTGAAAGCTCTCAACCCTCCACAGTGCCCTCAACATCCTGGTGCTCTCAGCCCTCTACAGTGCCCCCAACCTCCTAGTGTCCTCAGCCCTCCACAGTGCCCCCAACCTCCTGGCGCCCTCAACCCTGCACAGTGCCCCCAACCTCCTCAGACCTTCAGCCCTCAACCTCCTGAGAGCCCTCAACTGTGCCCCCAACCTCCTGAGAGTCCCCAACCTCCAAGTAACCCCAGCCCCCTGTAGAGCCTTCAACCCCCCCATAGTGCCTCAACAGTGTCTCACAGTGCTCCCCAATCCCTGCTGTGTGCTCCAGTCCACCCCAGTACCCCTGGAAAGCCTCCAACCTGCCTTCTACAGAGACACAGAGTCAACAAATATGCTGCAGAGTCCCCAAACCCATTCCAGTACCGCCATCCCTCCACAGAAACTCCCAGCCCGGCCAAAGCCTTCCAGAACTTCAATACATATGGTTGTTTTATTGTGCGATTAAAAACTTTTTTTTTTTTTTTTTTCCCATGGAAGGTTTTGGGAGAATTTACTGAGCTCTGGTCTCAATAAGAATCAGAACCAATGATTTTCACTGCAGGGAAAGAAGACCTGTCATCCTCACTGATGCCTAGCAACCTACAAACATTGTGACAGAAAGCAATCGATCAGGGCTTGAAATTTCCACTCGCCTGCTCGCCAATGGCGAATGGAAATTATGGTGGGGGTGAGTGTGTCCCTCAGGGCCGTCTTGCTGAGCAGGCTCGGAGCTCAGGCCAGATCGGTCATTGGCACTGGGAGCCGTCAGACACTCAATAGCTGAGCGCAGTGAAAGCAAAGGATGGAGTGTGTGCTGTGCTCTCTGCCTCCCCCTAGAGTGCAGTACCCGGCTCTGTGAGTGAACAACGAAGTACTGCAACTTTTTATGGGGGGTACGTGTACATGTGTGTGTGTCTGTGTATGCATGTACAATTGTACATGTGTCTGTGTGTATCTGTACATGTGTCTGCGTGTATGTACATGTATGTGTGTGTTTGTTGGCAGCGAGTAACTAAGGCCTGGCTAGTAGCTCAGGACTTGAAATTTTAAGCCCTGCAATCGATTATCCTCAGATAAGACTCCAAGGTGTCCTAACAATGAGAACACCTTCCTGACTGGTGTACAATCATCATTACCATTGTAGCATGGTTGTAGGTCGCTAAGCAGCGAGGATGACAGGTTTCCTCTTCCTGGAAGTTTGTTCCTTGGTACACCTGTGGACTTGAGAAAGGGCAAGGATGCCAGAAACTTGCTCTAATGTTCCTTTATATGGAATTTCGATTGACACAAAATTAAAGAATACTCGCAGCAACAACTGTGCCGTATATTATGGCGCAATCCTACGGACCTCAATGGGTCAGTCTGGCAGGCAATGCTATTGGCCACATGTGTACAGCCCTGCCCAGCTATGATGTCAGAATTTAGGTGGGCGGCTGGACGGAGGCGGGGGGTTAAAACCAGACGATTCCTCGAACCAGAATATGACACCCAGGATGCACCCACTTCTCTGGATTTTTCCCATCACTTTTCTACATTATATCCGATGACACAAATAAACCGCCCAGATCACAGCAAGGGGTGCAGAGAGGGCCACACGTGGGAGCGATCAGTACCTGTTGTCGGCGTAGACTCCGGGACAGTAGAATAAGGCACTGACGATATACTGGCCCCGGCACAGAGCTCTCAGGGTGACGGTGATTCCATATACAGAGGTGAACATGAACAGCACAAGCAGCAGGATGAAGGACTTGTGGTTCCGGGAGCCGATACAATTGTTTATCCTACAAATCATAAAAATGACAAAAACTCAGACATTTCCATCCAGTGAAATCTTCCTTAGATTGTACCCAAACATATCGCCAATCCACTCCCTTCCCAAAAGACATCATAAATGGCATTCTTACCAGTCCCCAGCACCCTCATTCCAGTTCCCAACTTTCCAGCAGCCACCTCGATTAAGTCCCAGCAGCTCCAGCATCTCATTCTTTTCAATCCCAATAGTCCAGCATCTCCCTTCTTCCACTGCCAACATTCCAGCCTACCCCTCTGTCCAATCCTGACAGCTCCAACATCTCCCACCAACAACCCAGCCTACCCAATCCTGACAGCTCCAACATCTCCCACCAACAACCCAGCCTACCCAATCCTGACAGCTCCAACATCTCCCACCAACAACCCAGCCTACCCAATCCTGACAGCTCCAACATCTCCCACCAACAACCCAGTCTACCCAATCTTGACAGCTCCAACATTCACCACCTGCCAGTCCCAAATGGCCCAGCATCTCCCCCCTTTCCAGTCCCAATGGCCCAGCATCTGCCCCCTTTCCAGTCCCAATGGCCCAGCATCTGCCCCCTTTCCAGTCCCAATGGCCCAGCATCTCCCTCCTTCCCAGTCCCAATGGCCAAGCATCTCTCTCCTTTCCAGTTCCAATGGCCCAGCATCTCCCTGCTTCCAGTCCCAATGGCCCAGCATCTGCCCCCTTTCCAGTCCCAACGGCCCAGCATCTTCCCCCTTTCCAGTCCCAATGGCCCAGCATCTGCCCCCTTTCCAGTCCCAACGGCCCAGCAACTGCCCCCTTTCCAGTTCCAATGGCTCAGCATCTCCCTCCTTCCCAGTCCCAATGGCCAAGCATCTCTCTCCTTTCCAGTCCCAATGGCCCAGCATCTCCATCCTTTCCAGTTCCAATGGCCCAGCATCTCCCTGCTTCCAGTCCCAATGGCCCAGCATCTCCCTCCTTTCCAGTCCCAATGGCCCAGCATCTCCCTGCTTCCAGTTCCAATGGCCCAGCATCTCCCTCCTTCCAGTTCCAATGACCCAGCATCTCCCTCCTTCCAGTTCCTACAGTCCAGATTTCCCTCCTCTTTTAGCCCCAGGACCCCACACCCTGCCACACCATTCACCTACCACACACAGTGATGGTCAAGGCGCCGGACACATCTCCCACAGATCCTGCAGTGCCCACTCCGTGGCGGTCTCACCACCTGACACACTTTGCACCAGTTCTTGTCAGAAATGAGGAAATCCTTCTCCAGGCGGTCTTCAGAACGTTCTCTCCACTGAGATTCTGTCCGCTCCCCTTCCTGTGAGCCACCATCGAGATCTTCGCTGCCCCTCGCCCTGGTTTTTTTTTTTTTTTTTGAGGTAGCCAGGATCCTGCTTGGCTTTGGCCAGGAAGAGGAAAGTCATGAACAAGCCACCAGTGATGGCAGAAAGGTGACCCCATCCGACGTGACCTTTCAGGAAGACCTCCCGCACAAAGTTATAGTAGTACATATACCCCAGAGAGAAGAGCACCAGGCTGAGGAACAGCAGAGTCTTCGCCTTCCGCCGATGCGTCAGCTGGTAGTACCAGATCACCAGGACAGGGAAGGCGCTGAGGACCACCACACCCAGGAGGAGATGCAAGGCTGCCACGTACAGAGACACAGGCAACAGGACCAGCGTGGGAGGATGCCAATGTCTACCTTCTTGGCGCCTCGGATCCAAGGGATGCGGAATCGGTCTGATGCGGTCTCGATGACCCGTGCCAACACCTCCGGCTTCAGAGACTTGCAGGTGATCCATCTGTGGAAGAGGACAAACTGCTAATATTGATTCGTAAGAATGCAAAGCTGGCCACAGACAGTACAATCTGATTGTACAATAAACTATGTGCTCTACATTACAATCTGAATGTATGATCTCCTTTACGTTGACCATACACATTACAATCTGGATTGGGTGGCTGTTGTAGCCGAGAATGGGCGAGCTCACCTGTCACAGGCCTCGTCCAAGTCCTCGCAGTCACACAGACATGCAGCCAGGTGGCTCCTCTCTCCCTTCTGGTTTATGTATTCGCAGCAGCACAGGACATCATCGGCATTACCCCCATGTCTGGGGGTCTTCTTCTCCGCCCTCACCCCAGTCATTGTGCCCCCCTCTGCTATAGAGGCCCCGAGTGACCAAATCCCAGAAGAGTGCAGCCGCGGGTGGATGTACACATGGCAGTGGAAGGTGTCCAGAGGAGGAGAACTGCAGAGACAACAACTGATATCAATCAAACCAACTTCCATCCTCCATATTGAGGACAGCTGACTACCCCTCCCTGGTGTCCCCCCATCCCCATATCTGACCCCTCCTTATGCCCCTAAATATCAGGGAACTCCCACCTACCTCCATCCACACCTATACTACTGTGCATGTCACCCAATCACTGTGCATCACTCCTGACAACCTCTGACATCCAATCATTACACATCTCTCAACGAATCCCTCCATCAGCCAATTACACCCTCCATCCTCCTAGGTTTTCCCATCTATATCCCCCTACTGAGCCAGAGTACCCATATACCCCCTCCTGTGTCTGCATCCCCTATATACCCCCTCCTGTGTCTGCATCCCCTATATACCCCCTCCTGTGTCTGCATCCCCTATATACCCCCTCCTGTGTCTGCATCCCCTATATACCCCCTCCTGTGTCTGCATCCCCTATATACCCCCTCCTGTGTCTGCATCCCCTATATACCCCTCCTGTGTCTGCATCCCCTATATACCCCCTCCTGTGTCTGCATCCCCTATATACCCCCTCCTGTGTCTGCATCCCCTATATACCCCCTCCTGTGTCTGCATCCCCCTATATACCCCCTCCTGTGTCTGCATCCCCTATATACCCCCTCTGTGTCTGCATCCCCTATATACCCCCTCCTGTGTCTGCATCCCCTATATACCCCCTCCTGACCCTGTGTTCCCTACATACCCCCCTCCTGACCCCCGTGTTCCCTACATACCCCTCTCCTGACCCCGTGTTCCCTAAATACCCCCCATCCTGACCCAGTGTACCCTACATACCCCCTCTCCTGACCCCGTGTACCCTACATACCCCCTCTCCTGACCCCGTATTCTCTACATACCCCCCTCCTCACCCCGTGTTCCCTACATACCCTCTCCTCCCCCGTGACCCCCCGTGTTCCCTACATACCCCCTCCTGACCCCGTGTCCCCTACATACCCCCTCCTGACCCCGTGTCCCCTACATACCCTTCTCCTGACCCCGTGTCCCCTACATACCCTTCTCCTGACCCCGTGTCCCCTACATACCCTTCTCCTGACCCCGTGTCCCCTACATACCCTTCTCCTGACCCCGTGTTCCCTACATACCCCCCTCCTGACCCCGTGTTCCCTACATACCCCTCTCCTGACCCCGTGTCCCCTACATACCCCCTCCTGACCCCGTGTTCCCTACATACCCCCCTCCTGACCCCGTGTTCCCTACATACCCCTCTCCTGACCCCGTGTCCCCTACATACCCCCTCCTGACCCCGTGTTCCCTACATACCCCCTCCTGACCCCGTGTTCCCTATATACCCCTCTCCTGACCCCGTGTTCCCTAAATACCCCCCATCCTGACCCCGTGTACCCTACATACCCCCTCTCCTGACCCCGTGTACCCTACATACCCCCTCTCCTGACCCCGTGTACCCTACATACCCCCTCTCCTGACCCCGTGTCCCCTACATACCCTCTCCTGACCCCGTGTTCCCTACATACCCCTCTCCTGACCCCGTGTTCCCTACATACCCCCTCCTGACCCCGTGTCCCCTACATACTCCTCTCCTGACCCCGTGTCCCCTACATACCCTCTCCTGACCCCGTGTTACCCTACATACCCCCTCCTGACCCCGTGTTCCCTACATACCCCTCTCCTGACCCCGTGTTCCCTACATACCCCCTCCTGACCCCGTGTCCCCTACATACCCCTCTCCTGACCCCGTGTCCCCTACATACCCCTCTCCTGACCCCGTGTCCCCTACATACCCCTCTCCTGACCCCGTGTCCCCTACATACCCCTCTCCTGACCCCGTGTTCCCTACATACCCCCTCCTGACCCCGTGTCCCCTACATACCCCCTCCTGACCCCGTGTTCCCTACATACCCCTCTCCTGACCCCGTGTTCCCTACATACCCCCTCCTGACCCCGTGTTCCCTATATACCCCTCTCCTGACCCCGTGTTCCCTATATACCCCCCTCCTGACCCCATTTTCCCTATATACCCCCTCCTGACCCCGTGTTCCCTATATACCCCCTCCTGACCCCGTGTCCCCTATATACCCCCTCGTCCCCTACATACCCCTCTCCTGACCCCGTGTCCCCTATATACCCCCTCGTCCCCTACATACCCCTCTCCTGACCCCGTGTTCCCTATATACCCCTCTCCTGACCCCGTGTCCCCTATATACCCCTCTCCTGACCCCATTTTCCCTATATACCCCTCTCCTGACCCCGTGTTCCCTATATACCCCTCTCCTGACCCCGTGTTCCCTATATACCCCTCTCCGGTTGTAGGTCGGATCTCTTCGTACAGATCGCTCAGTCTGTAGGTCTCCTATAGAGGAATATTGTACCGGGGGGGAGGGGGATCTCTGATCTAACATCACATCTTCCGGGGACCGATCGTCCTCACCTCCCGGGCCGGGACTCCTCCGCTATCCGCTCCTCTCCCGCCGGATACTTTCCTGGGTGTACCAGCGAAGGAGTTTTCTCATTATATTCGGTATTCCTTGCACGAACTACGCATGCGCCGGATTCAGACACAACAAACCGATTGCCGAGCTGCTGCGGAACATGTACCCGAGTTCAGATCACCATTTCCGTGCCGAGCGGTCGGCGAGCTACAGCGGGACACAGGATCGGGGGACACGGAGAGGAGGGGACACAGGATCTGGGGAAGGGGGACACAGGGAGGACAAAATCAGGGGAGGGGGGACACAGGATTGGGGGAAGGGAGGACACAGGGAGGATGGGGGGGGGGGGGGGGGGGGGGACAGGATCTGGGGAAGGGGGACCAAGGGAGGATGGGGGGGGGGGCAGGGGAATGGAGGGACACGTGGGATAGGGGGACACGGAGAGGAGGGGACACAGGATCTGGGGAAGGGGGACGCAGGGAGGACAAAATCAGGGGAGGGGGGACACAGGATTGGGGGAAGGGAGGACACAGGGAGGATGGGGGACAGGATCTGGGGAAGGGGGACCAAGGGAGGATGGGGGGGGGGGCAGGGGAATGGAGGGACACGTGGGATAGGGGGACACAGGATTGGGGAAGGAGGGACACAGGGAGGATGGGGGGGGCACAGGATCGGGGGAAAGGGGGGACACAGGGAAGAGCTGCGAGCTGGAAGTGTGAGAAGGGGGGTATGACATCAATGGGACCCCCCCCTGCACCCCTCCCCCATCACCGGGACCTCCGGCACCCCTCACCTCCAACTAATATAACCCTCCCCCAATCCTTTCAATTTATACCTCACTCCTCCCATATCCTCCAAATACTACCCTCAAAAATTTAACCCCCCCATATCACTGACTATATATCATCAGTTGTCACCTCGCCTATCATCCCAATAATCTGCCCTTCCCCCAATACTTCTGTCAATAGTCATCCACCAATCAGTAATCAGTACCTGGTCACCTGATCACACTTCAGCATCTTCTCATCTGCCAGCCAACTATCAATAATCCATCATTTTCTGATTCTACCTCTATTAGTGATCAATAATGATGATCAGCGCCCATACAGATCTCCGTGATCAATACTTCACTGGTTCAGTCTGGTATCATGCTTCCTTTTCCTGTTGGCAGGTCACTGAGCTCTGATCTGATCGATCATCTATTGGACAACGAATTATTGATCTGTTGCTGATGACGTATCCGCAGGGTGTGGCTGTTTCTCTCATCATTTGTAGATCTAAAAAAAAAAAAGTTCTACGCGGCTCCAAAAGATGACAGGAAGACTCTGAAAACCCATCAGATCCCAATGGGGAGGAATCTCCTGCTGGATCTCTATACTGACATGGATGGGGGATGGGTGAGGAATGTAAGGACGCCCCATCGTTGGATGGAAATGAAAATGATCGACCTACAGAGGACTGAATTCAAAGACACCCCGAAAATCAAAGTGAAGAAATGATGCAGCAGGCGAGTCCATGTTGGTGAAATGTCATTGCAGCAACTCAGAATGGTCCTCAGTAGTCTGTGTGGCCCCCACGTGCTTGTATGCATGTCTGACCACGTCGGGGGAGGCTCCTAATGAGACCACGGATGGTGTCCTGGGGGATTTCCTCCCAGATCTGGACCAGGACATCACTGAGCTCCTGGACAGTCTGAGGTGCAACCTGGTGGCGTCAGATGGACCGAAACATGACATCCCAGAGGGGTTCTATTGGATTTAGGTCAGGCGAGCGTGGGGGCCATTCAATGGTATCAGTTCCTTTATCCTCCAGGATCTGCCTGCATACTCTCCCCACATGAGGCCGGGCATTGTCTGCACCAGGAGGAACCCAGGACCCACCGCACCAGGAGGAACCCAGGACCCACCGCACCAGGAGGAACCCAGGACCCACCGCACCAGGAGGAACCCAGGACCCACTGCACCAGGAGGAACCCAGGACCCACCGCACCAGGAGGAACCCAGGACCCCCCGCACCAGGAAGAACCCAGGACCCACCGCACCAGGAGGAACCCAGGACCCACCGCACCAGGAGGAACCCAGGACCCACCGCACCAGGAGGAACCCAGGACCCACCGCACCAGGAGGAACCCAGGACCCACCGCACCAGGAGGAACCCAGGACCCACCGCACCAGGAGGAACCCAGGACCCACCGCACCAGGAGGAACCCAGGACCCACCGCACCAGGAGGAACCCAGGACCCCCCGCACCAGGAGGAACCCAGGACCCCCCGCACCAGGAGGAACCCAGGACCCCCCGCACCAGGAAGAACCCAGGATCCCCCGCACCAGGAAGAACCAAGGAACCACCGCACCAGGAAGAACCCAGGACCCACCGCACCAGGAGGAACCCAGGACCCACCGCACCAGGAGGAACCCAGGACCCACCGCACCAGGAGGAACCCAGGACCCCCCGCACCAGGAGGAACCCAGGACCCCCCCCCCGCACCAGGAGGAACCCAGGACCCCCCGCACCAGGAAGAACCAA